TCTCTTTAATATAATATATATAATATAATTATATTAATTTTACGCAGATATATTGAATGGGGATTAATTTAAGCAAAATATAACATTCAACAACAATATTCTACAAAGTGCAATTAGAGCTTTCCTACTTTTTTTATTATATATATATATATATATATATTTATTGAACGATTATTATATTATATATGTATATAAATAGCAACAGATAAAATGTAACAAGTTCGACGAACCGAGATGATGCGCTAATTTTATTCGCATTTCATCCAATAGAACTCGATTATCATGTTTTAACCAGTTGCATAGCCAATGTGTATATTGCGTTTACGTTAAAAAAAAAAAAAATTAAAACTTCTTCATGGAAGCATATTAACAATTTTAAATTATATATACCAATTCTATTAAGAGATAACGTAAATATTTAAACAAATTATCTCTTATAGATCATTGAATGAATTCTATCGTGTATCCAATCTTCAAATGCTTCTATAAAAGGATTGAAAACAATGTTATTCAAATAACGCGAATAAGCTTAAGAAGTATTCATTGCTTAAGCTTCCACTTACGGCAAAAAATTAATATATTAATAAATGTATCCAATTTTATTTTAGAGCGTTGATGCATTCGAAGCTTCTACCCGTTGTAAAAGCAAATGTACAAATGTATACATGTTTATATACGCATCAGAGTGTTATTTAAGCAATTATTATATTACAATATAGTTAATTTATATTAAGTATCGCGACACGTGATCATCTCAATTTGATTAAACTTGTACAAGACTTATTACAAAACTCATTCTATCTACCGTCTTGAGATTAGTTATATAAATATATATACATATATATATATATATATTTGTACTTTGCAACAGAGATCATTAAAGAATGCATGCATGTGAAACATACGCTGTAATATAAAAAAAAAAGAAATGTACAATTTCCTCTTGAGAGCCGTAAGACTGATAACTTAACGCGGGTACATAGAGACTGTACATATTAATAATTCGTTGTATGACATAAGTCAGAATTACGATAAAACTTATCTTGTGGATATTCAATATGCTACTTATAAAATGTATACATATAATGATATTTCGTTTCATTTCTATGAACAAATAAATGATCGCATTAGGTTTTATCGAAATTCTCTCCCTAATGCGATTCAGATTTAAGTTCATTTATTAAATTTACTTAAGCTTTGCGAGACGATAAAAAGCTCCCTTTTACATAGAAAACTTGTGGGCATGATATAGTATGTAATGTATTGATATATCATCATTTTCTAATTTTATTTTGCATCGTATTTGTTTTCTTTTTATTTAGATTGTATGTACTTTTTTTTTTTTTCAATTTTAGTATCCACAATTCGAAATTAATTTAGATTTTTATTATATATTATTATTATTGATTATTGATATTACTTTTATAAATAATTGACTACATGAAATTAAACTTTTTATTAAATAGCCTAAGATGCTTATACATATAATATTAAGTTCTGATTTGCTAACATGTTATATGTATATATATATATATGTTTAGAATATATTAAATAAAATATTTTTAAGTGGACATCGTTTTGTGTACCGTGGAATTCATTATTTTTATTTATGTATATTTAAATAAAAAGAGAAATGTAATTATATCGTTGAAATAAAATATATAAGCTACGCATATAAGCTTCGAAAATTGTTATCAAATGATTCATATTGGATGAAAATATACGTATAAAATTTATTATTACTGGGTTTTATTATTTTTCAAAATAATAATAATAATATATTTATAATGAAGTTTTAAAAAAGAAATAAATACACAAAACTATTATTATTATGAAATAATGGACAAAATATATTTTATATTTTTATATTGAATTCTATATTTTTTATATTTTTATAAATCATGTGTATGTATATTTCGTTTATATTTATATTTTATCAAATATATCTTTTATATTTTATATTTTTAAATTTCAGGTACATGTTTTGAATATATTAGACATATACATATATTTTTATATATGGTATATATTATACATTTTTGTAAAAGTTTGTAAATGATAAACATATAGTTTACATAAGTAAATAAGTATATCAAATTTTATAATTAGATTTAAAAAAAATCTAATAAAATAAATTTAATCTTTATAAATATAATAAATATAGCAAAAAGAAGTAAATATAAAAATATATAAAAAAATATAAAAGAAACAAATCAAATTGTAGAAAATTTTTACATGCCATTTCTTTTTAGATTATATTCTCTCAATAGTAAAAATTCCATAAAAAATTTCGGACTATTTTCATATAAAGAAAAAATAATTTTATATCAAAAATTTTATTATTCTTGAAAGAGTAAACAAGATCAAGAAAAAAAAGTTAATTTCTTCTAATGAACTTTTGTTTATCTTATTAAATTGTATATAATATTATATAACGTAAAGTTATCATAGAATATATAAAATCAACTATTCAATATAAAATAATTTCAAAAAACATATACTACAATAATATATTATATTATTAATTAATATATTACATTTTATATTTTCCTCTATTTATTATTATTATTATTATTTTTTTAATATAACATTTTACATATAAAATATTATCACATTTCAATAATATAAATCATTACATTAAAATAGATTGGAATATTGATAATACATATTCCGCTATACAATTTTATGCAATAACGGGAAATTCCCAGTATGATTCAATGATACATACATTCATCAACAAAATTAATGTAAAACCAATCATATTATTACTATCAATTAATTTCAATTATTTATTCTATATCTCATATATCTCAATTCTCAAATCGTTTTTTTTTTTTATTCTGTTCTAAATAATTTTATTGCTGAAATATTTTTAAAGATTTTAAATTTTTAAATCTAATTATTTTGGAAAAATCAAATAAAAAACTTTTGACTCCTATGATTTATTTGAATAATGTTTAATAATATGTATAATAAATATATGTATATATATATACATATGTGTATATATATACTTTTTTTCATACTATTTATCATAATACATTTGATTTAATAAAAATTTGTAATATTAATGTAATCCAATTTATTTTTAAATTTTTTATTATAATTAAATAATTTATATTTTTGTCAATTTTTGTTGCAATCATTTTTAAATTATTAATAAAGAATTAATAAAAAAAAATAGTAAGAATTAATAAAGAAATAGTATTTATATGCTTTCATTAATCTTTATGATTGTACCTTTCATATTATTCGTAATTGATAATTCAATTGTATACATCTTTTTATAATACTTTTTTTTCATATTTAAATTACAACTTTTAAGTTGTAAAACAAATATATGAGTTGTTTTTCTTTATATTATCTTCATTCATATTTATTTAAAAAATGTTAATATTATATATATTTTTTTTTTTTTTGCTTATTTGATCTCAATTTCTTTTCAGATCTTTATAGAATGTATAGCACATATTTTTTATAAATATTGTTTAATAAATGTAATGAATAATAATTAAATAATGTTTTAAAATATCATTTTATAAATAAATTCACCTAACTTGAAAATTCTGATTTTAATGAAAATTTGTTAGGTATTTGAATAATTTTCATTTATTCATGATTCATGTAATTAATTAACTTCTATTTTCTTAGAAATTCGTTTCATTTTCAGAAAGAAAAGATTCATCGCTCATCCTATCACCAGTTATTATCTTCGAAGTAAGGAGGGATATACAAAAGTGATGTGTAAGGAGAAATACGAAGCAGTCGAGAAACTTACGGAGTAGTGAAGGCATGTCTCGATTATCGTCACAATTTTTCTTACCAATAACAACGTTGATTATAGTGTTTTTATGCTTTCTATGTAATCCGATTTTTTGTAATGCACAGGATATAGGTAAGTTTTTTAGTAGACAATAAATAAAAATATATAAAAAATTAGATTTGTTATATATCTAATACTAATATAATAATCTAATGACATTTAATTATGATATTTAAAATTATATTTATAAATGATTAGTTTTATTTTGTTGTTATAGAAAATTAATTAAGAAAAGTTTATAAGAGAAAATAAAAAATAGGTACAATGGACTACTTCATAAAGTTAATTAGGATTTTTTCTGTATACTCATTGTTAATGAATATTCATATAGATCTTATCTAATATTTAATATTTTTTTTTAGATGAAGCATGTATCACTGATAACAATTCGCCAGGTATTTGTAAATTTATTCTACAATGTCCTTCGGTTTATGAAAATTTATTAAGAGGATTACCACCACGTAAAATATGTGGATATCTTAATTTTGATCCTCTTGTATGCTGTCCAAACATTTCAGAAAAAATATATACAACCACAATTAGAACTACAACTAAAAAAACTACAATTACAACTCTTCCACCATTTACTGGCAGAGGTGCCAAAACAAGAGCAAGTATGTACTTTATATATATATATATATATATATATATAATTTTTTAAATTTCGAATTTTTTAAATTCTTTCTTTTAAAACTTTATATTGTAATCTATTATAATAATTATTTTAGAATGTGAAGAATACAGTAGATCTCTATACACGACCGAATATCCACCAACTTTAGCAGTAAATAAGAAACCTAAAAATGTATCTTTGTGTTATGTTAAACGCAAACTTATCGTTGGTGGTACAAAAGCTGAATTAAAAGAATTTCCGCATATGGCTGCAATTGGATTTGACACACCAAATGGCATTGTTTGGGCATGCGGTGGCACATTAATTTCAGAAAGATTCGTTTTAACTGCTGCACATTGTACCTTTAACAGAAACTTGTATATATTTTAATTCTTACTTCAATATTATCATTCAAATTATTATTGGTTATATAGTTGTTAGCATTATAGATATTAATATTAACAGCAAAATTAAGTAAATAATAATTATGTAATCATTATATAAATAATAATTAAAATATTATATATATATATTATATATATATATATATATAATTCGAATATTAACTTTTTATAGGAATAGCACTGCAAATTGGGTGCGATTAGGTGATTTAAATCTCGAGAGATCGGATGATAATGCAGAACCAGAAAATTTCCGTGTTGTTGAGCGAATAAGAAATCCTCATTATAAACCACCATCCCAATATCACGATATCGCGCTTCTTAAGTTAGAAAGAAGTGTGCAATTCAATGCGTGGATAAGACCAAGTTGTTTACCGTATTCTTTACCGGATAGTGGCCCTGATGGTAAGGCAACTGCAACAGGATGGGGAGATGTTGAATGGCGTAAGTACAATAATTAAAAAAAATCTTATTTATTTCAATAAAATAATATTTCAATTTGAATTTTTTTTTCGAAAAGACGAAAGCAGTTCAAATGATTTATTAAAAGTCACAATTAGTTTGGTATCTCAACCAAAATGTAATGAGTTATTCATCGGAAATGAAAAAAACAATAAACTCAAATTTGGAATCATGGAAGATTCGCAAATCTGCGCTGGTGAACTTGGAAAAGATACTTGTCAGGTAATAATATTTTAAGAATAATATAGTAAAAAATATAATAAAAATATGAAATTTATATCTATTGCGATTGTAGGGAGATAGTGGTGGACCACTCGTCATCTTAAATCAAGATTACGATTGTATGTATACTTTAATCGGTATAACGAGTTTAGGAAAGCTTTGCGGTACCATTATTCCTGGTATATATACTCGTGTTTATAATTATATTCCATGGATAGAGAATATAGTTTGGCCAGATTTATAATATAAATGTAAAATAAATACATTTTTATATTAAATTTTATATTAAATTTTTATATTAAATTACATATATTAAATTGTATTTATGTATTTTATTTTTTTTATAGATTTACAAATATATTTATATAGAATACAGAAGTTTGTATAGATATTTTATATGATCAAAATTTTATTACACAATACATATTAAA